TTTAAGTGGGAGTTCCGTTCCATCAACGTGTCTTAAATGAATCCCCGCTAAGCTACCATGGTAACTGAGGCGAGTGAACAAGTCTGCTCTGGACCAGGTTAACGGTCTCACTTAGTTAGGCCTGGTCTCAAAGAACGTCCGACGTGTGGGAACAGATTACCAAAAGATCGTTCCGTTGGACAAAATTCTGCGATTTCACTACTCGTGTCATGTCATCTGTTGAATGTGTCCTCATCTGTCATAATATTTTACATTTTCTGATTGAATTATTTTGTTAACCTGTAAGGTGTACCAAAATGACATGATTTCATTTGAGTTAGCAGGAGAATGAGTCTTGTATATATGTATATTAAAAAATGGAACCCTGTAGTCGGTGCTGTGAGTAAAAGCAAGACGAGAAAGCAGAGAATAAAAACCATCTTTTCTGAAGTAATCCTCTGCGTGATGGAGAACAGGGCTGAGGTTACAAATTAAATTTCATTGTTCAAACTGCCTATTTTGCCTTTGGGATAGTAATAAGCAGAAGTATTTAATCAAACCCATGGCAAGAGTTACAGGGATAAAAAAAAAAAGACTAAACTAATCAAGACGAGCAAAAATATACAAGTTATTATACTAATTAATTATTTTTTTATTTATTGTGGGTCACACGCAATAAAGTTGAAAGATTAAAAAATATTTTATCTAGTTTTGTGTTCTTGATTTTTGGCTACCTATCTGGGGAAAAATATTTAAGAATCATCAATTCAGAGCAACAAATTGCAATTTTAATATATCTAAAAAGTTCAGGGATATTAGACGATTATTTTCTGACCACATGAAAAAATCTAAAACCTATTTGGCAAATAGCTCTAAAAACAGAAGCCTAACCACACCTGAAAGGACACTTAATAACATGAAAAATCTTAAGATTTTAAGGCATGAGCCTACAATTAAAAGAAAACACTGTCTTTGTAGTCCACCTGTCCTACACCCCTTCACCCTGGATTATTATTATATTTTTAGCCTATTTATGTTTCCATCTAGAAATATTTTAAAAGCTAAATTAACCAGGTAACATCAGCTTCTCCAAAGGATGTTTTGATTTTAGTTCTGAATTTTGGGATTCTGTGCAGCATCATGACCCTAAACTCTCACGCCACATGATCACCACAAGGTGTTCCTTTACGTCATCAGTCCATGTCCAGGCTCAGGGTCCATTTCATTTCATTTGACCGACCAGCTGGACCTGAAACCTTAGCCTTCACACGGACCCTCTGTTCCTCCGGCCAAGTCTACATACACTTCTGCTGAGTATCCATGGTCATCGCTCACCAATAAGCACAAGCGAATACATTCAGATGACAAGAAGATGTCTTGCCATTTTCCTGATAGTAACCGCTATTAATAGTAATGGTTGAAATTTTATACCCAGCAACATCAACAAGAAATTCAAGTTTGATAAAATGCCAGTTTTTGCTGGTGAATCACAGGAAAAACTGTCAGAACAAAGGTTCCTTCCCTCCAGAATATAAACCAGAAAAAGCACCTTTAATTATGAAAACTAAAAATAATGCTTTTAAAATCATTGTTGACCAAAAATAAACCAGATGAAAATGTTACAACTGGACAATGAGTGATATGACACTGCATATTTCTATTACACATGACACGGTAATTTACAAGCCCTACAGTCTACTAATAAGGTAATACAACTGTAACATTCATGTAATGTGTGAGCAGATTTGTCTTGAATTAAAAATCTTATGTCAGCCAGTTCACCAAAGTTGATAACTGTCCTGTTACTTTCTGTTTTGGACTATTAGTTGAAAAAAAAAACCCATTTGTTTCTGCTCCCACATCCCTTATTGTATAAGAGTCTGACATTTGATAATGTTTTTGAGAAAGGATACTTGAGTTTTGTTTTTCTTTTTTTTAATATCAATAAAGATGTGTTAATATGCAAGTATTTTGTCTAAGACTAAATTTTGGTTTTATTTATACTTTAATGATAAATATAAGGCAATTTTACAGTTGCAAAGAACTGTTAATGTTGTGCATTACAACAGTAATTGTGTCCTTAAAAATTGCACGTTCAACCCTAATGGCATGCTTTAAGATTGAACATGCAGTTTTTAAGGACATAATTTAACTGTTGTAATGCACAGCTTTACAGATGTTTCCTTCAGCAATCTTGAGTGGAAAGAGGTAGAGTAATCTGTGGACGCGTGTGTGTATATGCAAGCTATGCTGCATTCCATTTGAACTCGTAACTCGGAAACTCAACTGGAACGCCCCCTCAAGTTGAAATTCTGACTTGTAAACTCTGAGGAATCGACACAACCCTGAGCTCAGAATCCAAGATGGCTGCGCCCTTTATCAACAGAAGTTAAAGTTGTAGGTTAATACTGTTTATTAGTGCTTACGTCTTATTTGTGGCTCATTAAATCGGTCGTACACACAATACTGTCCAAACGCTATCTGTGGACATGCTGCTACGATGTTTTTATGTGCAGAATACCACGTAATGTGTTGTTAGCCATTGTTAGCAATATCAGTGGATAACAAAATAACTGGACTAGAAGTGGGTCCAGTTTCATTAAGCAGGATTTCTAGCTTAAGTGGACTACTTGTTGGATTTAAGGTAGTTTGGGCTAAATGTAAGTCAACAAAGATAAATGCCATTTAAACTGGGGTAAATTAAATCTGAAGTTATCCGGGTAAGCAAGAAATACGGATTTTTGAAACAGATCCCTGGTATTGTTAAATGGTTTTCTGACTTGCTGCACTGGAACGCTGTTAACTCGGGAGTGACGTCATTCCCAGTTCCAAGTTCCGACCTCCGAGGTAAATGGAACGCAGCAATAGACTACGACTAAACCTGTTATTTTCATTTGACTGCATACACTATCTACTTTAGATTTAATCAACTAAATATCCTGTAATTTTCATTGAATAAAACTAGACTAAAATAAAAAAAATAAAAAAATCAGATGACTAAAATATGACTAAAACTATGCTGCATTTTTGTCAAAGGACTGATGCCTTGTCCACACGTACACAGGTATTTTTTAAAACGGTGTTTTCCTCCTCCGTTTTAAAAAAAACTCCCCGTCCACACAAACATTGTCTTCTAAAATATTTCCATCCACATGAAACCGCTAAAATGCACTGTCAAAAGCATGCCAAAACAACAGGTGGCATTATACTGCCATGTTAGCCAATCAGAAGCCTAACTGCCAGTCCTGTTAAGTTGAAAACCATGGCACACATTCCGATGCCTGTGTTGATCAATATAATGCGAGAGTGACTCAACATTTATCTGTACACATGTAAGAAGTCCTGTCAGCAAGGTTAGCACAATCACTATTTCGGCTAAGTCCGCCATTGCTCAAACTCGCCTAATGTATACAGCAAACAGCGCACGCTCTGACGTTAAACGAAGTGGACAACGGCACACATTCTTAAGATCTTCAGCCTTGGTGGAGTTTTGCAAAACCTCCGATTTCAGTGACCTACGACGCCGTTTACGTGTGGACAAAAGCCCAAGACATATAGAAAAACGTATGTTTTAAAAAATACCCATGTACGTGTGGACAAGGCATAAGACTAAAACTAAATCAAAATATACTGTCAAAATTAACAATGATAGGCAGGGCAAAACTGCTTTAATACAGCGGTTAAGGAGAAAAACATTTTCCTGCCAAAGTTTTAAACATCTTGCACTATCTTGCAAACCTAAAGTACATCGGAATAATTTGAAGTTGGCTGATAGGAAACTGAGGGAAACCACAGTTAGTAGGGGAATATCAACCACCTTATCCAGGGTGAAGGGGTATAGGACAGGTGGACAACAAAAGTATCACTGTACACTAAACTGCAACCAGGTATGGAATTGCAACCCATAGCTGTCACCAAGAAAGCAAAATCGAGAACTCCACTCACAGTCACTGAGAAGAACCAATCTAGTTTGAAACAATTTGGTGTCCGGCCACAAACTGACGGTGTTATACTGTCTGCAGGTAAAGCTTTTCCTGTCATAAGCCCCTATCCCTAAAGCCTATCCACAGCCTGACCAGGCAAAGTGATCAAATCCTAAAGCCAGCAGCAGGGTAGACCAGAACCAGGGCCTGTAACAGACAGAAGACCAAGGTGCTCAGAGCTAAGGTTCTAGCCATCAGAAGTACGAGTAACTAAATACCTGCCTTTACAACAAAATAGAGTTTTTTTGAAAGAACCAACCAAAAAAACAAGGCTGGATTCCAGTGCAAGTCCAGAGTAAGAAAAACCTACAAATGTTAAACTACAGAACTCACAGAGCTTTCAACTTGTAAAGTCTGCATAATGTTTACCCAAGTCCCTCAAGGGGGCATATCAAGTCATTTTACCATGTACCTTTTATGAATTTCTATACTCAAATATGTACCTAATAATGTACAACTGTGGCATCCTAATCTGCAGTAATTTTCCAAAAACATCAAATAATTTCTTCAGTGCAGTAATTTATTTAAAACTAAACACTGCGAGACAAATGGAAAACCATCTAAAAACTGTCCCAACAAGCCCCAGTCAGTACTAGCTTGTAATAAAACCGACATGCTGATGCAGGAAAGCAGTTGTGTCCCTTCCTCTTAATCTCTCAGTCTGATGATGATCCATAACCCCGGTTCGAGATCCGTGGGCTCGGAAGTGTTGCGCTAATGGAAGAACTGACAGCCAGGTGGAAGTTTCCGCTCACGCCGGTCTAGCTGGCGACATTTTCGCCGCACGCCGCCGCGGTGTCAGGAAGGACAGCGCGCCCGTACTATTCTCAGCATGGCAGGATTAAGGGCTGCCCTACACCTTCTAAATACAGCCACGGCAATGGACTCCGCCGGCAAAGTGTCCGTAATATCGCTTGAAACAAGTATAACACCCCCCCCCCCCGAAACAAAAGTTAATTTAGTGTTTTGACTACAGCTAGTCGTAAGCGGGGAACCGCCACAGACTGTATAAAGGGCCCAGATCGGCAGCTCGCTTACCTGACAGCCCGAAGTCGGATTGCATGTGCTCGGCGCCGGCGCCTGGCTTCTCCAACACCAAGCATAGGAGTGTGATCCACAAAACCACGGCGCTGCCCAGATCCATGCTGCGATCTCAAGCCTAAATGGGTAAATGCAGGGACGCGGAGTGTGATAAATAGCGGCTCATTCAGCCCATTGCTGACAACTGCCCGTGTACTATCTGCTGGGCCGAGTAGCACACGTCCCCGTGTAATCAGAGTCATGATCTAACGAGTTTGCAATTCCGAAACATTTTTAAAAGCTAAATCTATTAAGACACTTCTCAAACGTGCATATACCATCTTAGAATTAAGAAATCAGGTGGGATTACTACATCACACGTCCTTGTGGGTATCCCAGTAGATGATGCGGGAAATTTTAAAAATATCATGTAGATTTTGCAGCAACTGCTTTATTTCTCCATTGTAAAGTAATTGTTGTTTTTGGATGGTTAAAATCAAACCAAAAGACGGTTATCTGAACATATGATCGCGATTTTAAGACTGCCGAAAACGCTGAACTCCAACGCATGGATGTCGGATCCAGTCATTTTAAACACGGAGTTGAGCATGACTTTCGGTCATGGTAAAATACTCACTGGGGGACAGAGCAAAGCTATGCGAGGCCGGTGTTTATTTACCTCGAGTGGGGGATCTTGGTGCATGGGATGAGCTTCAAACTTCTCCCGGGCCGCCTTTATCTAGTCTTTATAGCTCATCAGACACGTCTTCCGCTCGACCAGACTCTTTACAAAAATGTGTCTACAATCCATCTGAAATCAAGAAACAAAAAATAAGCAAGAACCAAAAACGGATAAGTTAGCTCATTGTGAAGCGGCTTCGGCAGACGTGGGCGGTAATAATCAAGAGGACGTGTCCACACCGTAGTGCAACCCGCAGCTGATCGGATCGCCGCTTTGTGCCAGTGAGGCCGCTCGCCTCGACTAGTTTAGCGGCATCGGCGTCTGAATCAGGAGATCAGCCCCAGCAATTAGCTAGTTACCTACACCTACACCCAAATACTGATATATATAACCCAAATTGAATAAACAAATAAATACGGAAGTCCCCAGGTTATCAATAAATCCAGATTGCTTTCAGGAGATCTAGACCGACTTCTTACGTTTCATTTCGTCCACTGTCCCCACTCCTCTCGGTGAATTGCCAAAACTCCCGAAAGGACTGCGCCGCAGCCCGTCGCGCTGGACGTATTGTATGTATGCTCGAAAACCGCAGAGCTCCGGGGCTACTTTCTGTCCTAACAGCGCCGCCTATCGGAGCGGAAGAATTTACTTTATTATACAGTTGTTAATGAATTTATTATTATCCGGCGAGCCTGAGGAGGATAAGTGGTTGTAAGACAGATGGATGAATTTGTATTATTATTAAGTGTTTTTTTATTGTTTTTCTTACAAGGTATAGGAACTGTCCAAAAAATAATATCATGCAAGAAAAAGAAAAGAAAAAAGATCACATATCCATACAACACGTTGAGTACTTTTCACTCAATTTTATTTAACAGTCATTTATATGTGAAATACCCTCCCTCATAACTTCTCAACATTAAGTTTTTTTTAAAGTAATATTACAGAGATGGTTAGCACTGTTGCCCTAGGACCAGGGTTTGTGTCTCCGCCTGGGTTGCATGTGTGTGGAGTTTGCAGTGTCGTTGTGGGGTTTCCTCTGGGTACTCCGGTTTCCGCCACAGTCCAAAGACATGCTGAGGCTGATTGGAGTTACTAACTTGCCCATAAGTGTGCGTGTGTTAGTGAATGGTGTGTTAGTGTGCCCTGCGATGGGCTGCCCCCCCCCCAGTCTTTGGTTGTTCCACGCCTCGTGCCAGTAGCTTCCAGGATAGGCTCCGCGGACCCCCCGCGACTCAGAAGGATAAGCGGGTTGGAAAATGGATGGATGGATTACAGCGATGTTTTAGCTGTTTTTATTTTCAGAAAATGTGGTCAGGAAGTCATAAAATAGTTTAAAATCAATAGAAAATAATGTTATGTTTAATGGACGAAACCATAGATTGAAGGCAAGCCAACGCCACAAATGAAGAACAAGACTGAATTAATCCGTGAAAATCTGAAAGTTTGTGAAGACCGACCAGCTTGAAAGGAAGCTTATTACACTACAAGGAAAATGTGAATAAAAAATCTATTTTTATTCACATATTTGTATGCATGGTATTTCTTGTACTGTTTTTCGGATTGCTGCAATCAAATTGCCTTCGGGAAATAAACTTGAACTACGTATATAAAATGAATTCAGGACGTGTTCATTCAAAGCAATTCAAAAGATAATAGGAACCAGACTCGTTCTTCATAAACACACACGTACGATCTGCTAGGTGATCAGTTATATAAAAAAGTATAATCTGCTTATTATTTTAGCACTATATAAACTTGTCACTACGTCATTCGAAAACGAAATGAACGTGTCTTCGCCGCTGGTAGGAAGGAAACAGAGCGTCACTGTCACTACTGATGTGCAATGAACGAATGAACAAGTTATTTAGTACTTCTCGTGATCTCTGAACGAACGTACTGATACAAAGACATTGGAGAACGAATGTATTTCGACGGATCCACCGTGCCTGCTACGTGTCCCATTGCATTCCGCGACAGTCGAGAAATGTCATCTTCACGTCAATGACTGACTTCGGTATCAGCAAAACGGTTGTGACAACAACTAGCCAATGACTGACTTGGAAGAAGACACCAAGCACCTCCCATTGATCAGCTTACTCTGACTTTGACAGTATCAGCACACTAACGGATTGAACGGAACAGTAGGCCCCTCCTGATCTTAAGTACCACTACAAGTTCACTCACTGAACAAACGAATGAACAGCAGAAATAAGACTCGCGCACACACCAGAACAGTACTCTGAACTGGCCCACTGAAGGCATCAGTGCGTTCACTGAACGAACGAATGAACTGCAGACATACAGTAGTACATTGAATCTCGGTTCACTATCTGGAGTGTGCATTAGAGCGCCATCTACTGGAAATAGTATTTTTAACGATATTTATAAACGTACAATAATAATACGAAAAATACAACATTGTCAGCCTACATTTTAACTCCAGTGTACTCAAACAGACATTTTTGATGGCTTTTTATATTGTTTATATTGTTTGCTGGCTAAAGTTGTTGCAGTGTTATGAGACTATTCTAGTTTTTTTTCAATTGTTACCTTATAGCTTGTAAATTCTCAAAGACGGTTACAGTAGTTCTTCTGTGTGCACAAAACCATGCCATTGCTCCAAAATGCTTCAAAATAAATTAATTTTCTGAAGGTGATATGCCTGCTTCTTGGCTTCAGAAAAAAGTTGAATTTAATTTTAGTGTGATTGAATATCCTGTTTCAAAAAACTTAAAGTACTGCCAGATACTGTGGTACAACTTGGGTATGGCTACTTTTATAATGTGATGTTGTCATATGCAGTTAATTATGCAAAGAATTAATCTTTTCTCCTCTGTTCATCAGTTAGTCCAGAGGTGATTAGTCTTATCCACAAAAGCCCAGTGTGTTTGCATGTTTTGGGATGACCTTTAGGTCAGCTGTTCTGATCCAGGTGTGAGGACTCTTCAGCCAATCAGAAGAACATGAGCATTAGTGTTTGAATTAAGTCCATGAACACTGTGGACATAATTTATTCATTTTATTATCTATTTAACTGTTCTTTTTAATTTTAGAGGAGTTTGATAACACAGTAGGGCATTACCTTCCACCTCCAAGATCCTGTCTTTGTTTTTGACAAATGTTACAATAAGGAATGTGCCTTGCAGTGTAGGGAATGCTATTTTTCTGTCACTGTATCCCAGTGGTTCTCAAACTGGGGGCCGCGGCCCCCCTGGGGGGCCACCAGATGGCGCTAGGGGGGCCGCATCGAAATTGTAGAATCTAAAAAAAAAAATTACCTGTACTGTATGTAAATCAGACTTGTCAACCTATGTAAAATATAATGTATTTAAAAAAAAAATAGAAATATATAAAAAATGTAAATATAAATTTTACGTAGCACACTACGCTGCTATGGACATCATAAATTACTGTTCAGTATTCAGTACTTTTGTTGCACTTTTCAGACAATGTTAGTTTTACTGTCAAAACTGTTTTAATAAAATGTTATATTTTGTGAAATGTAAATTTAACAAACCAGAGAAATAAAGACTACAAACAGAATCTAAAATTAAGTAAAATTGTAAGTTTGAAGATGTTTTGCGTCATGATTTTTTTTTTGAGGAGGAGGGACACAAAAGGATTCATCCTACACAAGGGGGCCTCCTGCTGAAAAAGTTTGAGAACCACTGCTGTATCCAGTGTACTGCATATGGTTGGTGTAACAGTAAAGCCAAACTTGACTGTATGTTTATGTAGTATTATGTATTATGTTGGGATTTTCTCCAGTTTAAGAGTTAAGAATGATTTTTACTTTATAAATAGAAAAAAAATGAAAGGTACTCAATTGCGCATTTATACATTATCCTGTTTTGTAACTATAAATGTAAAGTACATCCACTTAGACACAGCCATCAGCAGCGTATCTGTCTGCGGGGAGAATGTCGACCTCTTACTATCAAGTCAGCACACAGATTGGGATACCATGGGGGCCATGAGGTCACTGGAATGGGGTGTGTGACGCTTCTAATATCTTTGCAAGAGGACAAAAGTCCAAGTCTTTAGAGTCCTGAATGAGGCACATTACCTGCATTGTGATTGAGCCTCAGTTACGGCACTAGAGCCATGTGGAACTATTCCCTAAAGGTGATCCAGCTCGCAGGATCCTCACTGCTGAGGACCCAAGCGGCTGGACCAGGCAGAGGGGATGCCCACGTAACACCTGGTTGCAGCAGATGGACGGTCATTTCCGGGTGAGACTGGACCCTATGTCTGCCTGGGGGGTTGCCAGCCAGGATCCTGAGGTGTTTTCGTCATGTGAAGGGTGCGGCAATGCGCTACATCAGTGCATGCTCCCCAACTTTATCTGACACGAACCACTTAGTCCTGCAGAAGCACCAGGACAAAACTGCCCACCCTGCAGAACTTCTATATCCAGCAATGCAGGTCCAGGGCATTAAGCATTAACTGACACTCACCACCCATGCTGTAAACTATTCCAGTGCCTATGCTCACGTAGGCACCTCCTGAGCCTTATGGCCGGGACTGAGAGGCTGAGGAGAAGCTTCTACCCCAGGCCATTAGCATCATCAAAATCACCAAGCAAAAACTAAAATAAGCCATAACTGCAACATGTATTTCAAAGATTTAATCACACATATTCTTATAACTTTTTATCTTTACTTTTTCTATGCCTTGTGTATGTTTCTACATTTTTAGCACTTTTGTTAACTTATTTTCTTATCTTAAGTAGCAACAATTTCATTTCACTTCAGTTTTATTTCACTTGTATGTGTACATTTGTGCACATGAAAATGATAATCTTGGATCCATAAGGAGCTCTTTTTATTTTAATGTCTATCTATCTATCTGGGTTACTAAAAAGCAAATGAAAGCACAGTGAGATGAGAGGGATAAGCTTTAAGTTTTTATTTATTATGAAAAAAATCCATCTCTGTACAGAGGTATCAATAGAGTCTAAAGGCTCTCGCAGTGTACGTGCATTAACCCTAATATTTTAATAGGTTACGGTTAATACAAATTACAAAGAACATGCCGAGTATAACGTTCTGAAAAACATAAAGGTCAGTCAAAACCGTGAGACGTCATATTCAGTAACTTATAAAACTCGTGAAGTGTCAAACATATTGGTAATACTGGCCTTAAAAAGCACAGAACGTTACATTCACAAAACTTATCTGGTAGTTCTCAAACCTTTAGAAAACTATGCATTTCCGGTTTACATTTGGAACCGTGCTTGGCAGTACGGATTGGTAATTAACGTAAGCATACACGCATGCGTGTGTAAATGGTACGCATGCGCAATGCAAATCGGTCTGTGGACTAGGGGAAACAGTTCTGTGACTCCCCATACAATGAAGAATAGCTTCACGGAAGTCAGCAGTGGCGGTGGTAGGGTCGGGCTAACGAGTCTTAAGCCCCGAAACATCAAATTCAGAGCCGCGATGGACATGGAACCTATTTTG